GTTCGGAAAGCGGACCGTTCTCTCCTGGGACAGACTATAGTATTCTGTATTAGGCAACATTAGGTATACTTTTCGTATAAACTTTTGGCCGAAAATATTGACTGTTCTGAGTTCTCATAACACTATGGCATGCAATACTTTTTATTTGAAAACGGAGTTTTCTAGTTATGACAGCAATTTTCTCTAAATTAGAATTATGATTACCATTAATGAATTAAAAATAGATTTATTCGTGTCACCAAACTTGTATGATTATGTGTAATTTTACTTCATTGTTTCCACTTAAATATTCCACTTAAACGATTTTTATTGAAAAATATTATGTCGGGCCTGGCCCGTTTAAAACTTAAACTAAATTAACTAAATAAATAAGAGTGGATAGGCGACTCTCATATTGATAAAACAAAGGGCCACGGTCCGATATTTAGATGACAGACAGACTGATTTTATAAAGCGCTTTCACTCCAGCAAAAAATTCTTTCATTTTATCTTCATTAATTTTACGTGCCTGTTTATTGTTTAAGTGACGCATTTTTAGTTGATTGGTTATAAATATTTTTAATAACTTCATATTTTTGTACTACAGGTCGTACGAGTACTGTTTATCATGTTTCTATGAAAGATCATGTAAACAATGTATCATTTCATTTGTAAGTGTTATTACGGTTAATAATAATTAGTAATTACTAACGAGTGTAAATTTAGTGAACCAGAGCCAGGGGGACTGTTTTGATAAGGAATAAATATCGTGGAATCATGNAAACTTAATTGCCTATACGGCATAAAAAAGAAGTAATGTTGGGTTGCATATTTGTAAACCAAGAAAATATATGATCGTAAATATGTTCGAGTATTTTTTTTTTTTAAACATTTAAAATACTATTCGAATGCTTTTACAATACTGTTTTTAAGTAGTTTTTTAATTTATATTACCTACCTGATATATTTAAAATGCGTCCAGACTTTGTTATTTTAATGATTGTGTAAACATAATGTACGACCACACGATAAAATTAACTTACAAAGTCCAAAGGAACCGATTAGATATTTTATTTGTATTCAACTAATGTTGACGTGTTAAGTGTGTTTATTGTGTTATATTAACGTGATTCAGTATGTATGTATTATTTATATGTTTTAATAAAATTAATTAAATTTTTTCAATAAATGAAAGCAGTTCTTTGGTCTGATATCTACGGATTACCAAGAGTCTACTGTATACTTAACCAATTAATTACATAAATGAAGTAATGCACAGGCATAAAATGTGGTCTGCGATACATCATTATTGGTTACATTAGGTAAATAATATACCTTATAAATTGAATATATTAAATTAATTTCCAACTTATACAGTGTTTTGAAAGACCTATACATTTGTTTCTATAGCAAACAAACTCTAATGGAATAAATGACCGTAAAATGTCGACCACAAATATTATATCACTTAAATCCTATTGTTATAATCAATAAATCATATCAATAATCGAAATTAATTCAATATTGTCTACAGAAAAATAGTACTCATTAAGTTAAATTTTGAATTACCTCTATTCAATTCTAATACAAATTTCGTTTAAAAATGAAATACACAAACGTACACGCACACACACACACACATTTTTTATCGGAACATTATTTATGGTAGAAAATATAAACCGTACAAATTTTAAATAATGCTATTTGATATCTTGTAATTTTTCGATTAGAGCCATATTTCTGGTAAAAAATATTGTGTATACAAATTTTATGTAACAAAAATTGACGTCTTTAATGTACCAACTAGATAAAATTACCTTTTTGGAAAATGTTACACCTTAAACATCTGGTAGAAAAGTTATATTTTACACGTTACATTCATATTCAAAATATTGAAATATACATTTCTTACCATAGTAGTTCACATTACCGAGCGGTTTCTTAGTACATTGTTCGAGTCTAAACTATTTTAACCTAAAGTGTAAATTACCTTTTATTGTGCTGCAATAGTTCTCATACTTTATGCTATATAATATGATATACTAACAGGAAACGTGACAACGCCCGTAACAGTACTATACTAATTGGGCCCCGGGTTCCCGTGGGTACTATACTAGTTGGGTTCCGGATTTCTACAGGTTGTACACTAATTGGGTCCAGAGTTAATAGTGTCATATCAACCTAATGACCAATAAGTATAGAAAAATAAAACATATTATTCTGGTACTCATAAAATGATATAATAACCCAGACTCGATAATAGCAAAATCTATTATATTTGTTTAATCCATGTATGGACTATAAAATTTTTTTGAAAAATATATGGATGAAGAATCGAAATTCCTCCTAGATATTTGATCGAAGTTTAATGCTACAAAAATACGAACGGCTAACNCCCGTTTTTTTCATTCCACTCAGAATCTGAAATAAAAATAAATAAGTTAAGTTCATATTGAAATTCAGCCAAAATGTTATCCTTTCAATCCACCTAAAAAAAATACAACATATTGCCAAATTTGAGCTTATCCAGTTCAGAGAGAGCCGCTAAAAATGTCCAGATGTACCGGGAAATATATGTACCTATACGTGAAAGACACAGACGAGTGCAATAGTCTTTAGTATTAGAAAAATATTCGAAAAAATAACACATAAAATAATATATATAACCTAACTTATAATAATATTATAGTATCTTATAAAATCAATGGTAATATCAATAAGCACGTTTCTCTCGCAGTGAATTAAAAATATAGATGAATCGAATAAGCGATAAGAAATGATAAGGATGTACTCCAATGCCAGAAACAATTATTTTGATATAGAAGTCTAATATAGACTATAAGTAAAATATTTACAATTTTCATAATTTTCCTGTGTTAAGATAGGTTTTTTTATATTTGAATTTTATAACACATCAATTTCAATTTGCCTGTGTTTTTTTTTATAACATAATTTTATGAGAAATAAATTTCATGACATATGATTTTTATAACACATGCAATTTTGGAGATTTAAATTTATGATATCCAATTTTAGGACATATGACTTTCTAACATTTGATCTATAACCCTACAAATGTGTGTGAAATTGAACGTCCTTCCTATGTTTTTCCTAATTATTATAAAACCTGCTACGAAAATCAAAATCTAATCAACCTACACGATAAAAAACTAGATAAAAATTAAACAAAAAATTCTCTTGTCATTTTTAANACAAATGTGTGTGAAATTGTACGTCCTTCCTATGTTTTTCCTAATTATTATAAAACCTGCTACGAAAACCAAAATCTAATCAACCCATACGATAAAAAACTAGATAAAAATTAAACAAAAAAATTATCTTGTCGTTTTTAATTGGAGCCATATTTTTGGTAGAAATTCGTATTTATTTAAAATAACAAAATCGTTTAAATATTTTATTGAAAAAAAAAATTTTCGAAAATAAGTGGTCAAAATATTTTGAAAATTTTACCACGTTTAGGTAAGTCGACTATAGGAATTTCTCTCAAGTTTCAAGATTCTACAAATATTTATACCCGAATTAAAGAAAAAATAATCCTGGAAATCAAAATGTCTATAAACAGCTCAAATGAAGCTTAAAAGTTTAGGGAATGATACCATAGGAATCAAGATCAAAAGTTATAGGTAAGATACAGAGGTGGGTGCAGCTACTATTGTGGGTGGGAAGTTAGGAAAGTAGGATACATAAGGTTATTTATGTATTTAATTAAAATACTCTTATGTAAGTAACAAAAAACTATTACTGATGAAAGACGATTCTGAGCAGATTTCGGTTAATAGTATTTCTACATAATGTGTGTGAAATTGTACATTGTTCCCGATTTGCCCCATATATTATGCAAATTATTTGTAAAATCGAAAATTAACTTCTGGCATAAGAAATAAGATCCAATATAAAACAAAAAGAGTCATTGTCGTTTTTCCATTAGAGCACTATTTCTGCTAGAAATCGTCGTCCGTAATTATATAAAACAATGAAATCGTGAAATTTGGATAATTGTTTGTGGATAAATATTTATTTAAATTTGCACCGATTTTCCCGTTTTTCCTGCATTTTCCCGGTTTTTTACATTTACTGAAAAAACTCTTACGTAAATCAAAAATGACCCTATTAAGTTTCCATGGAGATAAAATTTTCTTTCAGAAATTTAGCTACAATTGCTACATCAGGGCACGATTTTTGGTAGAAAAGTATGTACAACAAATCGAGGGGTATTTTGCAATTATTAAAATAGTCCGAGCGAGCAATGGCTTAGGTTTCTAGGTATACCCAAAATGTATTTTTTTTTACTTGTTTAGGTAAAATGGAAAAAAAATGCAAAAAATGTTTTACTGAAACACGGGTTCGAATTCGTTAACCCTAGGATTTAAATAGGCATGTTTAAACATTCAGCTACGACAAACAATATTTGGTTATTTACCATAACAAATTATATCTGCATTATATCAGAACTTTAAAAAGCGATAATTTCGAAACTTGGTCAGTTTTCTCAGTTCTGACTTCACCATCGTCCTTAAATCGGCAATATACATATGTTCGAAAAAAAACAAAAGTTTGTTTTACATCATTTTTTTACTCAATAATTTTTGTCAAAATGTGATATTAAAAGTCCGTTATGAAAAAAAAAAAATATTATTACATTAAACTCAAATTTTCTTTTTTTAACCACAAAGTAAGACTCATCATAATGATGAGTTAACATGAACTTACTAAGTTCATTAACTTCCAATTAAAAGCTATTCTCAAAAAAATGACAGTCGAATACAGAAAAAACGATGTGGTGGATTGGGTGAAATCGAAGTCTTTAGGACGAGGGTGGTCGATCTAAAATTTTAGAGATGAAAGCGAAGGAGAAGATGAGAAAGATAAACATGAACAACGGGACAGACGTGGGAGATTGTTCACAAATAACAACTAATAATGTGGTATATGTGGATTATTTTATTCTTTTGCGAGGCCGAGTTCCATTTAAACCGATTTTGTTGGAACTAGACATTTCNGTCCTTAAATCGGCAATATACATATGTTCGAAAAAAAACAAAAGTTTTTTTTCATCATTTTTTTACTCAATGATTTTTGTCAAAATTTGATATTAAAAGTCCTTTATGAAAAAAAAAAACTAATATAACATTAAACTCATATTTTCTTTTTTTAACCACAAAGTAAGACTCATCATTATGATGAGTTAAGATGAACTTACTAAGTTCATTAAGTTCCAATTAAAAGCTATTCACAAAAAAATGACAGTCGAATACCGAAAAAACGATGTGATGGATTGGGTAAAATCGAAGTCTTTAGGACGAGGGTGGTCGATCTAAAATTTTAGAAATGAAAGCGAAGGAGAAGAAGATGAGAAAGATAGAAATGAACAACGGAACAGACGTGGGGGATTGTTCACAAATAACAGCTAATAATGTGGTATATGTGGATTATTTTCTTCTTTTGCGAGGCTGAGTTCCATTTAAACCGATTTTGTTGGAACTAGACATTTCGCCCATATTTTTGTTTTTCACTACTAAATGTTTATTAAAAGACAATTAAAAAATATATTGCATTGTATTGTATTATATTTATAATAATGTATATTATATTGATTAAATTGTAAATTTGTGATAGATCAATAAAATTAAACGTTTTGTATTATCAATCGCATTTAATATTATTAAATTTATAAGATAGATGATATTTAATATGTAATAGTACAATAATATATGTTATAGATAATGTACTTAAAATATTATGAAAAAAATGTAACAGTAATATTATTGTAATCGTTAATAATAAATTAGTAAATAAAATTCGAAAGGCGAAATAGTAAATATCATATTACACTACCATGTTCATAATGGTTCATTAAATGTATATAATAAAACTTTAATATTGTAATATTTCTGTAATAAAATTGAGACTTTGGTTCTTATGTGGCACTAGATTAAAAAAAAAAAAAAAAAAAAAAAAAAAAATATTATGGTAATTGCTAATTGTATGAAAATAATTTCCATTCACATTATAGCTGAAATACATAGAATTTCTTTTTGAGCTATAAAAACCTAGTTATCAAGAGAATAACCATAACCGTAATATAACTAACCAAAAAAATTGCTTACTTCTATTACGGCCATACAAATAATTCATTCATGAATAAATTATATATTTAAATTATTGAGGCAAGATAAATTTAACTAATAAAATAGATAATATTTAAGTAAATTTTCCTTGTGCGAGAGGATCACAATATTCCCACGCTACCTGTCATACGAGGTGACAAAAAGGGTTGCTTCAGATCGAAAACAAGTGCTCCCATCTAGCTTGTCCTTTCTAGGATATACAAGAGGAAAACCGATTAGTAGAGGTATTATTGTGAATTATGTTTGAAGATGATATAGCTTTGATAGGAGAGAATAATGTAGATAACATTTGAAGAAAAAAAACTTAGGATAAGTAGAAATAAAAGTTTAGAAAAACTGAGCAAAATAGTTAACGACAATAAGTGGTGAAATGTTTAGTGAGGTTAAGTGTATTATGTGTCTTTTGTACAAAAGAACGGTGGTTGGTGAAAATTCGAAACATACGATAAAGTGTAGTTGGATAAAATGTAGAGAAGCGTCAGGTGTTTATTTAACAATAGAATTCGAATACGATTAAAAGGTAAGTTCTATAAAACTGTAATGAGACCAACTATGTTGTATGGTCCGAGTGTTGGGTGGTGTACAAAAAATATATCAGAGAATAAGTGTAAACGAAGATGAAAATACTTAGGTGGATAAGTAGAGTGACAATCGGATAAATAATGAGTACATTAGAAGAAACATAGGATTGGTTTCGATCGTAGACAAATGTGAGAAAATAGANGAGTTCCATTTAAACCGATTTTGTTGGAACTAGACATTTCGCCCATATTTTTGTTTTTCACTACTAAATGTTTATTAAAAGAAAATTAAAAAATATATTGCATTGTATTGTATTATATTTATAATTATGTATATTATATTGAATAAATTGTAAATTTGTGATAGATCAATAAAATTAAACGTTTTGTATTATCAATCGCATTTAATATCATTAAACTTATAAGATAGATGATATTTAATATGTAATAGTACAATAATAAATGTTATAGATAATGTACTTAAAATATTATGAAAAAAATGTAACAGTAATATTATTGTAATCGTTAATAATAAATTAGTAAATAAAATTCGATAGGCGAAATAGTAAATACCATATTACACTACCATGTTCATAATGGTTCATGAAATGTATATAATTAAACTTTAATATTGTAATATTTCTGTAATAAATTCGAGACTTTGGATCCTATGTGGCACTAGATTAAAAAAAAAAAAAAAAAAATATTATGGTAACTGCTAATTGTATAGAAAATATAACAGAGAATGAGTGTAAACGAAGATGAAAATACTTAGGTTTCGATCGTAGACAAATGTGAGAAAATAGACAGAGATTGTGTGTGGGTTTCTGTTTAACAGTGCTATTTACATCAATCTGCTACAATCACCTACCTGTGTTTTCGAACTTAACCTAATTTGTCTTAATGATAAGGTAAAACCACCTTTATCTAGATAACCGTTAGTAAAACCTTTATTATTATGATAATAAATGAAATTCAAAAACTCTGGCTTTAAAAAATATTTTACTAAACAGGGTAATCACTGATCAGTATTTAATTTGAAACATATAATATAGGAAATGATTAACTTGTTTTAGACGATTTACGGAAAAAAATGTCACATTCCTGTTAATTTTAAAAGTGCTTGAAAGAAATTTCTAGAGGTTCTATGGCCCACTGCGCCTTTTCCTATATACACCACTGTTAAATAATGTTAACGTTATGAGGTTTATGATAATATTATATATACAACATATAAATTTTGTCTAAATAAAAAATCTAAAATATCATTATAAAAGCCTAGAATATTGTATAATGTTGTGTGTGTTTACCACAGGTTATAGTTTTACAAAATCATCAGTAGGTACAAAAAAAGCGAAAACATATGATTAATTTGTGCAATAATTTATTTGTATTTAAACTTCTAAAACCTTTTGTCTATTTAATGAATCAAATTAAAGTATACTTGCTTAAGGTACCACGATCAACGACACAATTGTTGCCTATTGATTGTCATCTATTATAAAAAGTATTAAATAATTAGTAGATATTCTTTTATGTTATTTAAAATTGTATTTTTATGTTAATTATTAGGCGAAGAATATAATAAAAAGACNAAACCTTTTGTCTATTTAATGAATCAAATTAAAGTATACTTGCTTAAGGTACCACGATCAAAGATACAATTGTTGCCTATAGAATGCCATCTATTATAAAAAGTATTAAATAATAAGTAGATATTCTTTTATGTTATTTAAAATTGTATTTTTATGTTAATTATTAGGCGAAGAATATAATAAAAAGACGCCCTAGGATAATAGGGACGGGCACAGCCACCGTTTTATGAAATTTAATGTACACCTGTAAGCAATGATAAACCATTGCTAACGAAAAAACGATTCTAAACGGAGTTCAATTGATATTGATGCTATGTCAACAATATATATGTCATTTTATAGTAAAATAATTAAATGGGTTTTATTTAATATTTATTTTATGTTATACCAATTTTCAGTAGCCTAGGCGTGCTGCTTTGTTATCAATAATATGTAATATTATGGTAAAATTCTAATTATTCCAAATTCCAAATTAAAAGTGGATCCTGTTTTTCCGGTATTCCTCGGTTTTTTTCGGTTTTTTACATTTATTGAGAACTTCTGAGAANTAGGATAATAGGGACGGGCGCAGCCACCGTTTTAAGAAATTTAATGTACACCTGTAAGCAATGATAAACCATTGCTAACGAAAAAACGATTCGAAAAAAAAAAAAACGTTTTATTTAATATTTGTTTAATGTTATACCAATTTTCAGTAGCCTAGGCGTGCTGCTTTGTCAACAATAATATGTAATATTATGGTAAAATTCCGATTATTCCAATTTAAAAATTAAAATGGATCCCGTTTTTCTGGTATTCCTCCGTTTTTTTCGGTTTTTTACATTTATTGGGAACTTCTGAGAAAATTGGAAAAAAATTTATTTTAAGTATCTTTCCATTGAAATTTCCTTTTAGGATTTATCCTTCTTTATCATTATAAGTTGTCGGAAAATTGCTGACAGAAAAGTTGCCCACAAGAAAAAAGAAGGCCATAATATTTTTAGCTAATACCTATATTTCATACATTTTCCCTCTTTTCCTCAGTTTTTTTTTTCGCTTTTTCACATTTGTTGAGAAACTTTATATCAACAAACACAATATATAATGACTATGAAATATTTAAAAAAACAACCTACGTAGTTATTTTTGAGATGTTTGTTCTAGAAAAAAAAAAAAAGAGAATATTAATAATAGGTTTCTTTATAATTTTTTATAAATTATAATAACATTATTTATAGTACCTATATAATACAGAAAAAGATCATTATTCTGTTAGGTTAGGTTGGGTTATCTGAGTATTATTTCGTTTCAGATGCCCCATCTATATTATATGATACTTATAATGAGCTTTATTGATATCGATAGTAAACTAATTTTATTTATGCCGAGATTGTTTTAAACTAAGTGGGCAATGGTCAGTTTTCAGTGACGTGTAGAGGTGCAGTCACAATATCAAGGAATGCAAAGACTATAACAGAGCAGTTTCGCACAGACTTCTTGATTGGCCATAGTTATTATTATATAAATAATACATTATTTAATATTCATAAATGTAAAGAATTTATTTTATAGACAAATAATATGATTTAGGAATATAATAGTTTATATTATTCCCAATCATGATACTATGAAATGGAGCTCATTAAAGTAGTATAATTCAATACAGTACACCGATGATGTTTAAACTCAATACGGATATTGTGGTATGATTAGGTACATAATCTTGGGACAAAACTAAATCATAAAACTGAAACCTGTTTTACACTTGAAACTAAATCATGACAATTTGGAAGGAAAATTATTTATTATGTTTAGTACGACCGGTATATGATGATGAAAAAGGAACATAGAGAAGAAAATATAACAGGGTGTTATAGGAAGAAATAAACATGGTTTTAGTAGTAATCTTCATAGGAGGANCAGTACACCGATGATGTTTAAACTCAATACGGATATTGTGGTATGATTAGGTACATAAACTTGGGACAAAACTAAATCAGAAAACTGAAACGGGTTTTACACTTGAAACTAAATCATGTCAATTTGGAAGGAAAATGATTTATTAGGTTTAGTACGACCGGTATATGATGATGAACAAGGAACATAGAGAAGAAAATATAACAGGGTGTTATAGGAAGAAATAAACATGGTTTTAGTAGTAAACTTCATAGGAGGACAAAAAATCACAAATAAAAACGGCTTGAAACGTGTGGCTGCGAAATGAGGATGATATTAATAAAGCAGTGCTGGAATGAAAGCTAACAGTAAAGAAACCCGAGATAGACCAAGGAAAAGATGACTAGACACAGTGGAAGAAGACCTGGACAGAATGGGAGTGCAAGAACAGAGAGAATTAGCCCGGGACCGAGAAAAATGGAGAGATTAAGTTATGGCAGTTAAAATTCTTAGGAGTATTAAGGGCCAAATAAATAAGAAGAATATGGGTTAACATTTTTTCAGATTAGAAATCAATGAAAATGTAATGCAGTAATGAATTCACTATTAACTTATTATATAGGCTTTCTGAATACGGCTATATGAAATATTTAAAATAAATCTTACCTCAAGCTAGAAAAAGCTGATCTAGTCCTAGAGTAAAAAGAGAAAAAAAAGAAATATTAATTATTGGTAACATTATAATTTTAAGTTTTGAGTATAGCGATGAATGTAATGGTTTTACAAAGATGTATTTTTTTTTTTTTTAAAAGAAAGTTTACTCCGATATATACGATATAAAATTNAGATAGACCAAGGAAAAGATGATTAGACACAGCGGAAGAAGACCTGGAAAGAATGGGAGTTCAAGAACAGAGAGAATTAGCCAGGGACCGAGAAAAATGGAGAGATTAAGTGATGGCGGTTCAAATTATTAGGAGTATTAAGGGCCAAATGAATAAGAAGAAGATGGGTTAACATTTTTTTCAGATTAGAAATCAGTGAAAATGTAATATAGTATTGAATTCACCATTAACTTATTATATAGGCTTTCTGAATACGGCTATATGAAATATTTAAAATAAAACTTACCTTTTTCTAGCTGATCTAGTCCTAGAGTTAAAAGAGAAAAAAAAGAAATATTAATAATTGGTAACATTATAATTTTAAATTCTGAGTATAGCGATGAATGTAATGGTTTTACAAAGATGTATTTTTTTTTTTTTTTTTAAAGAAAGCTTACTCCGATATATACGATATAAACCCTTTCTCGAAGGGAAATTATAATTTTCGGTGGATGGTACTTTAAGGAAGATATTTTTTGATTTTCTCAAAAGTTTTCTCATCAAATGTGAAAAACCGAGACAAAAAAATGGAGGGAAAACGGGAAAATGTGTGAAATTATTAATAAAGTAGTTAATGAGTTACGGAATTTTTTCTGAAGACAACTTTTTTAACAGCAATTTTGCTCAAATTTACAATGAAAGCACTTTTTATGGATGGAAATTTGACTAGGAAAGTCTTTTAACGAGCTCATTCTTGATTCCAATAGTTTTCCCAGTCAAAGTGATAAACTGGGAAAAATTCAGGAAACCGTAGGAAAAACAGGAAAATCTGTACAATATTAAACAAATATTATTAAAGATAATATATCTTTCCTATTTAATTATTTTACCATAATTTAACATGTATATTGTTGACAAAGCGTCACTATCAACTGAATTCTGTTCAGAACCGTTCTATCATTAAAAATGTTTGCTTACACGTATACATTAAATTACCTATAACAGTTGCTCCATTATCCTAGAGAGCTTTTTCATTGTAATTTAGTTACAAATATTCATAGAAATTTTATATGGTTAACGGAAAACTTATATTTGCCTGTTATACTTGTGTTAATAAGTCAAAGAAATTATGATGCTCACTAGGAATTTCAAGCTAAGGTGATGAGCTATTCATGGCCCAAAGAATGGGTGGAATTCATATTTATACCACTTCATAAAAAATAATGCAATAACTACCGCACCATCTCCCTAATCCCGCATGCTTCCAAAGTCCTACTCAACATCATCCGTGTGAGGCTGAAGTACTACGTAGGTAAATAGATATCACCAGAACAAGCTGGATTTGTCAAGGTTAAAGGAGAGCGTGAACAAATTTTAAACATACACCAACTCATAGAAGAAATTAGAGAATTTAANCCAAAGAATGGGTGGAATTCATATTTAAACCACTTCATAAAAAATAATGCAACAACTACCGCACCATCTCCCTAATCTCGCATGCTTCCAAAGTCCTACTGAACATCATCCATGTAAGGCTGAAGTACTACGTAGGTAGTTAGATATCACCAGAACAAGCTGGATTTGTCAAGGTTAAAGGAGAGGGTGAACAAATTTTAAACATACACCAACTCATAGAAGAAATTAGAGAATTTAATCAACTCATGGTATTGTGTTTCATTGATTATAATAAAGCTTTTGATGAAAGAAACTATGGACCATCATGTAAGAAATGGAAGTTCCTAAACATTTAATCAACCTAATCAGGAATCCACACTTCTGGTCAACAACATAATTGTTATTTAATTATTTACCTAACATGACCCTTAAAAAATGTTCACAGATTAGTATCGAAACAACCAGGGGTTTACAAGTTGATAAGACAGTTCAAAAAAATTGAGAATGATACTGAAAACTCTATAGAACAACTCATTCAAGGCTGAACATATAAGAAAAGAAAAACGGGAACAAAGAATTAAAAATTTAGTTCTCAGACTAAAAAATACAGGCTTCAGTATTATTGAGTTTGTACGAGGAATATCGTACAATTCAAGTTTTTAGGAGTTTCTTTATTAACATTTACATTAATTATTAACACTAAATTGTATGAATTTTTAAAATTTTAATTTTAAAACAAATGATAAATTAATAAATTTTATAATTCGTATTGTTTTTGTTTTTTAATAATTTCGAACATACTATATTTCGAGTGTATAATCTTTCGAACTCTTGACGTTCGAACTTACAGCATTCGAACATATAATTTTCGATCACATAACCCCGTTCTTGCCAAGTNAATTTTGAAATTTTAATTTTAAAACAAATGATAAATTAATAAATATTATAATTCCTCTTGTTTTTGTTTTTCAATAATTTCGAACATACTATCTTTCTAGTGTATAATCTTTCGAACTCTTGACGTTCGAACTTACAGCATTCGAACATATAATTTTCGAACACAAAACCCCGTTTTTGCCAAGTGCGTAGCACAATGGTTTTGTCCGAAAAAATCATTGGTGCGAAAAAACTGAGCGAATCGTAAAACCGGGTAATCAGTAACAGAATGCCGTGTTTAGTGAAGACGGCTGGGATATCGAGGGCCGGTTCACAGCTAAAATAGTAATTAACCGTGCCCTAAAGGAGACCAAGGACCTTAATGTCCCCGCTGGTATTTATGGCGAAGGTCACCGATTTCGTCACCCAAAATCCACATGGTTGCCAAACGTTGTACCGCAGTCATAATGAGTGAGTAAAGGCATTGAGCTCAGACCCGCTGGCGAGAGCACAGTTAAGCTTAGCTTGTGCAGCAAGTGCCTCGTTTACGGTATCGGCTCAGAAACAATTGAAACAATACCTAGCAAAACCAATAGTGAACCGTACCCAAACAAAGGCGATGTCGACGTGGCTGGAGGTGTCGAATTAGAAGACGGGACGATGTCATAGATCTGGGTGTAGTAGTTTGTGGTGTAAGTGTGAACTCACTGAGCATTTCTTAGGTTCTTTGCAACGATTGGCCCAATTGCTGTCACTAGAGCAGGGAAAACATATTTGTCGAGTGCGTGGCCACTTGGTATATTCTCCGATCTTGACGATGCACTGAATTGATTGCACTCATGATTGAATCATGATTGCACTGAATTTCCGATACACATCAAGAGCGTATAGATTTTTACAATATTTGCTCACTGTAGATGTGGCCAGTAGTGGTGTAGATACGAGCGAGGTATGCAGTGGCTTGTATGGCCTCTTCGGCGACGTGCTAATCCGTTCTTTTGATTTAGATATGGATACAGAGGACAGGCATGGAACACCCTGCACTCGTNTAAAATTAACCAATTCGGGAATCTGAAGCGATTTTAGCACTGAGACGCACTCACTTAACGACATTCGCTTGTGCTCTCGAACATATGCATTTGTTTTTATATATCTAAAATATATTTATGTATGTATAATATAATAATTAAACTCCAGTTATTAAATTATTTATAATGGAATATTAATTAATTTGTATACAGATAGTAGATAATAAAGGTTACTCATTTCATTAATCAGTAAAAAAATGTACCTACTTAATAAAAAAACTAATGAATATATATATTTATTGCATTATTTATTTTAGGGTTTGCCATTTTTCTGAGTTAGCTGGGTTCTCTAATTACAACTGTATAGATTATATTTAAAAAAATTACTTACCATATTGTGCTAGAGCATAAAAAGAAAAAAGGAAATTCAGAATTTTCTTTACGTAGGTATTATTAATACGAGTACGTATCATTATTTTGGCTTTATTTCCCATAGGCGCATTAGGGGGATATCTCGTGTCGACCTGTGTAGGACCCATAATACTCATTTTAGTACTTATGGTACGACAAGTATTAAGTAAAAACAATTTATAAATTGAAAAAAAAAATATTATCGATATAAATTATTGTCAATTAATAATATCGTAATTTTTAGAGTTAATTAGAAGTCAGCAATACTCAAGAGTAAGGAACTAATCATTTATAATGAAACTTCTTTTAATATTTTATAATAAATTAACAAAATATTGGTTGACTAATAGAAGTATCTAACTAAATGATTTATATGCAAAAATAAGCAATATAAATTGAACTTAAATACATATTAATTCAAGACAAATTAATAATTTTTATATATTACATCACATTTACTATAATATAAAAAATAACGTTTAACTGATAAATATATTTTTTTATATGTTTAAGTATAGGTAATATTTAATATTATAAATATCGTTATTTTAAATGGAAAACATCTGTGAAACGTGTAATGACTATGAGGCATTTATGGATCACAGAGTTTAAGATTTACGGTTAGAGACTTAAAGAGGTTAAAGAACTACCTAATATTCGTCTAATAGATTCGCCTATGTTAATAATGTATATTACTGAAGTCACTCAATATTTTAATATAATATATATAAATAATATTAAATTTTATATGGCCAATCTATAATATTATAGAAGTGTTATACACAGTACTTCACG